ATCGACGGGCGTTTCGCCAAACCGCGACGTTTTTCGCCTTCGACAAAACGCTAGCTCCATCGCGGTGGCGTTTTTCGCCAGCGAAATCGATACACATCTACTGCTTTTCGCCCAACCGCCCAACCGCGGTTGGACGGTTGGGCGATTCTCCGATCGATGACTATTTTTTGCTTTTCTCCCAACCGCCGTTTCGTCAGGGCCTGGCGACTGTGAACAATGCCTAAAGACCATGTCCCGTCATGGGATCTTTGGCTTGATGCCATATTGTGTGTTGCTTGCTAGTACGTTATTTTTCTATTCCATTACGAGTTTCTAATGTGAAATGCAGCTGTCTCATTCATACGGATGGCATGGTTTTTGCTCAAGAGCAATTTCTAGCTAGCCGAAAAAGGAGAATTTCCTGCAAATTAAGAGGAGGCTCTGATACCTTCTCAATTCCATTTCGGATACCCTGATCTTCAGCTTCTGCTTCTCAATGGACGCTTGCAGCTCAATGTTCAAACGCTCTTTGTTGGCTAGTTCTTGCTGAACTTGGCATAATTTTCCCGTCGATTTCTGAAAGACATTATGTTTAGGGGGAAGTTCTCGATAAGACTAGAGCTAAAACCGAAAATGACTTCATTCTCCGAAATCAAGCCATGATCTCACGCATTTTTGAAAATTTCTTCCGAACATTACACAGTGCACCGTTCTGCTTGATGTGGAACTGAGACTTACCAGCATCCATCTTCAGTAACTGTTCCTCTTTCTGCTTCGCTTGATAGTACCTCTTGACTAAAAATCAGAATAACCGCCAAGTGGGTTATGTTTGTGAAAAAGCCAGTCTTGATACTCACTGTCGGCAATACACTCCATAGCAGTTGCAAAGATCTCCTGCTTTACCCCTTCCGACACGGCATCAGATGCGATTATACGACGTGCTTGTGCAATGAACTGCAAGCAAGCTCTTATAAACAAACATTAATGTAATAATAATTTAGAAAACGCCATCTGGAGGAAGGTATCCTCCTTCTCGAGAATTAGCAGTGTCTTTCAATCTCGTCTAACAGTTGCCCCAAA